CGGCGAGACTAATTCAAGATCTGTTCTCGTCTGTTGTGTTTAATATAGGGTTAAAGCCATTGGAAAATCTCTCCTCACAGCTAGGAAGTAAATAGCAGTGTAGACTCAGCTCTCTAGTCTTGATTGGTAGTCAGTCCAAGAAAAAGATTACTCCAAGTTAAAAGAAAAAAAAACGTGGAGAAGTCAAAGGGAAACCATTCCTGTATCCTTTCCAATAAGTCACGGCGATTTACAGGCAATAAAAAAACAAGGCATCAGTCGAGAACCGTGATCTTTTACGATTTGAAGGGACACAGAGTTTTTAAATAGAGAAAAAAATGAAAATAGATGCAAAAATTTAATTGAAGTTCTGAAATTCACTCATTTACTCATGTCTTAGTTATATAGGACGGCCCCACCAAAAAAAAAAAAAAATGACATCAATTAAAATGTGAATACCTGAGTAACTACATAGCTCCGATCAACGAAATTAAAGAGGCTTCATATCGAACAACAAACGATTTATTTCTCATAATTCGAACAAGATATTTAAAGGGATGTAGATTTTATAACCGATTTCACAAAGCTTCACAAATTCACACCACCTGTAACCCGACACAAGTCGGTAGGCCAGCTCCTGCCAAACATGCAGTAGCATGCCTTGCATACCATTCTCCAGTGATTCTCCGTTGAAGATCCTCTAGATTTGTAGGAAGAGGGGATATATAGACTTTCCTTTCGCATAGATTAAAAACACTCGATGTCAAGTCAGGTGAACGTGTTGGCCATTACAATAACACAGTGTCATTATCGCTGGCAAGTCCAATCTATCTTTCTGGTAGATACATATTGAGATACGCCCGCACAGTAAACTAAGGTTTCGATTTTATACATTTTGTATAAAACAGGTGAGATCATTTGAGTAAGTACAGACGGCTAGCGAGCGTTTTTAGACTGCAATTTTAGTAGACGGATATCCTGTATGATCCAGCTATTATATAATATATATATATATATATATATATATATATATATATAAGGAAAAGAATCTGTTGATTTTTTTTTAAAAAGGTTTATTTAATGAAAGAATAAAATAAAACAGGTTATGATTCAACTACAGATAAAATGAATTATTATTTTTGCTTTAAAATGTATTGTTGATATTTCGGCTTTAGAAATATAATATTATATATATATATCGTTGGTATATATAAAATATATATGGTATTTTTTATATTTTATATATTTTATATATATATATATACCATCAAAAAGGGATCTATTTAAAGACTCGACTAAAAACGGATAGGGTATATATATATATATATATATATAAGTGGTTCCTTGCCCAGAATACCCAATGTCCAGATCAGAGGCCTTGCAGCTGGGTTGTAGTTTATCACTAGGTCTAAATTTGAGTACAGCAAGAAGGAGATTTTCAAAAGATAAAATGAGGATATATGACAGGAGTCGGTCGATCCTTGAGTGCAGGTAATTTTTGAAAAAGTGCCAGAAAAAACCATACCAAGACATTCTGAATTAGGAGTCGCTATCGGGCCGTCGATAGCTGATAAATTACAAAGTTTTGAATTAGCATGGTTAAATTACTGTTTTTGAACTACAAAACTGCTTTTTTTGTGATTTCTCGGGCATTCAAGCCGGTAAATTTTGTTAATACTGTTTATTACAAACAGAGCTTTTGCTTAAATATTTCTATCTATAAAAATAAAGCATAATCAATGTTTTTTACATAAACCTACTGTTAAGATACGTCTTAATAAATCCTCATTTAGATCGGGTTAATACACGTATACGCATCATACGTCCATAGTTCAGCGATATCACAAAATAGTAGAAACTTTACTAAAAGCAACAAAAGCCACAAGAGTTCGTACAAATTAAAAGAGTTTATAAATAACAGAAAAAAAAGAAGGTGGCACAAAAAAAAGAACAGAATTAATGGAGGAGGGAGAAAATCATGAAAAGTAAGTTGAAACGTATATTATAATTACAGAAATTTTTTATACATATGAAGCTATATATATATAGGTATAAATATAATATGCATATGTCAAATGAGGTATGGGAAACGATTGAAACGTTAGAAAGTGAAGATTATGAGGTTAAGGAGGATATTTAACGATTGGCCCTTGAATCGAAGAAGTTAATATTGTCATTTTTAGGAACAAAATTCTGTGAGGAACATTTGCTTTCTCTTTATCAGTCTCTTCATGATGTATCATTAATCCTATAAGTTTGAAGACTGACTTATTATTAAGATAGATTCTAATTTCTATACTTAGATCTTATTTAGATCATTTTACTACACGCTTAAGCTTCATAGTGTTATAGCATAATCAAAGCATAAAATCGATTAACCTGCGAAGAACATCAGAATTATGTTAATTCAGGCAAATTAAAAGGATTTATAAATAAAATAAAAAGAAAACGAAAATGTGTAAAAATCAAATGAGATTAGGGGTAGTCAGAAGAAGAATTACGTACAGAAAGATGAAAAAATTCATGTCATTTGCAGAAAGAAAGAGGAAGAGAGATTAAAACCACCACCAAAGGGAAGATGGCGACGAAGACAAAATGAATAAAGAAGACGACAAAGTGAATAAAGAAGAAGACAAAGTGAATAAAGAAGACAAAGTAAATGAAGAAGACGACAAAGTGAATAAAGAAGAAGACAAAGAATAAAGAAGAAAGAAGACGACAAAGTGAATAAAGAAGACGACAAAGGAATAAAGAAGACAAAGTAAATAAGAAGACGACAAAGTGAATAAAGAAAGAAAAGACAAAGTTTAAAGAAGACGACAAAGAATAAAGAAGTCGACAAAATAAAGAAGACAAAGTAAATGAAGAAGACGACAAAGTGAATAAAGAAGAAGACAAAGTGAATAAAGAAGACGACAAAGTGAATAAAGAAGAAGACAAAGTGAATAAAGAAGACAAAGTAAATGAAGAAGACGACAAAGTGAATAAAGAAGAAGACAAAGTGAATAAAGAAGACGACAAAGTGAATAAAGAAGAAGACAAAGGGAATAAAGAAGACAAAGCGCCGAAGAAGACGACAAAGTGAACAAAAGAAGAAGACGCAAATGAAAGAAGACATAGTTAAAAGAATGGGATTAAATTGAAGAACAAAGTGAATAAAAAACTGACAAAGTTTTAAAGAAGAAGACAAAGTGAATAAAGAAGACGACAAAGTGAATAAAGAAGACGACAAAGGGAATAAAGAAGAAGACAAAGTGAATAAAGAAGAAGACAACGTAAATGAAGAAGACGACAAAGAGAATGAAGAAGACAAAGTAAATGAAGAAGGAAACGAAAAAATGCGCATGATGCCAATGAGATGAAGAAGAATGGGGATTAAAATATAAAAGAAAAAATCCGTTGAGTATATTCGAATAAAAAATATTAAAATGAAAATATTATGGTCAGAAAAAGTTGAATAAATTAATGTCGAGGTCAAATAAATAAAACAATGACATTACAAACAGACTACAAGAAAAATATTGATAATCGAAAGTTATAGCTAAATACTGAATGAAAATATAATCCCCATGGAAAACAGAGTTCATATACTGAGGAGAAAAAGAACCAAAATGTCATCATTTTTAACGTCTATATAATTTCGTTAGAAGAAAAAACAGTTTGGATAGACATATGACAGTGAATGAGGGACAAAACCCAAAATGACAAAAAACTGGAGGCAGCAGAAAAAACATAAGGAAACTTAGAAAGAGACGGGAAAGCAGAAAAAGGAAGTCTTAAAGAAAGAGAGAAACACTTTATTCAGTCAGACGAGAAAGAGAAAAGAGACGAGAAGAGACGGAGAAAGCAGAAAAAAGAGACGGAGAAAGCAGAAAGAGAGACGGAGAAAGCAGAAAGAGAGACGGAGAAAGCAGAAAAAGAGACGGAGAAAGCAGAAGAGAGACGGAGATGAGAAAAAGAGACGGAGAGAGCAAAGAGAGATGGAGAATACAAAAGAGAGAGGAGAAAGCAGAAAAGAGACGGAGACAGAAAAGAGATGGAGAAAAAGAAAAAGAGACGGAGAAAGAGAAAAGATTGGAGGAACAGAAAAGACTGAGAAAGCAGAAAAAAGAGACGGAGAAAGCAGAAAGAGACGGAGATGAAATCAAAAGAGACGGAGAAAAGAAAGAGAGACGGAGAAACAGAAAAGAGACGGAGAAAGCAGAAATTTCGGGAGAAAAAAAAGAGAGACGGAGAAAGCAGAAAAAAGAGACGAGAAAGAGACGGGAGAAGGCAGAAAAGAGACGGAGAAAGCAAAAGAGACGGAGACAAAAAGAGACGGATAAAAGAGACGGAGAAAGCAGAAAGAGAACGGAGATCACAAGAGAGACTGAGAAAGCAGAAAAAAGAGAAGAATTTAGAAAAGAGACGGAGAATAAAAAGAGAAACGAAAATGAAGAAAAAACGGAAAAGAGATTAGGGATACGGAGAAAGAAAAAAGAGAAACAGAAAAGCAGAAAAAACGGAGAAAGCAGAAAGAGAGACAGAGAAAAGAGGAAGAAAAGGAAAAAACGGAGAAACAGAAAAAAAGGAGACGGAGGAAAGCAGAAAGAGAGAAGACAAAATGAATAAAGAAGACGAATAGAAAAGAGAATAAAGAAAGAAGACAAAGTGAATAAAGAGAGACAAAGGAGAAATGAGAGAACGGAGAAACGACAAAGAGAATAAAGAAGAAGACTGAAAGTGAAAAAAAAGACGGACAAAGTGAAAAAGAGACGGAGAAAGAAGAAACGAGAAAGGGAATAAAGAGAGAAGACAAAGTGAAAAAGAGACGGAGAAAAGATGACAACGGAAAAGCAGAAAAGACGACAAAGAGAATGAAGAAGACAAAGTAAATGAAGAAGGAAACGGAAAAAAAGGCGATGAAAATGCAGAAAAAGAGATGAAGAAGAATGGGATTAAAAATATAAAAGAGAGAAAAATCAGAAAGAGAGAGGGATATTCGGAAAAAATATTAAAATGAAAATATTATGGTCAGAAAAAGGAGAATAAATTAATGGAGAAAGGTCAAATAAATAAAAACAAAAGACGGATTACAAACAGAGACGGAGAACAAGAAAAAATTGATAAAACAGAAAAAAAGGAAAAACAAATACTGAATGAAAATATAAAAAAAGAAAAGGAAAAGAGAGTAGAAAATAGATGAGGAGAAAAGAGACGGACCAAAATGAGAGACGGAGAAAAGCAGAAATAGAGACGGAGAAGAAAAAAGAGAGACGGAAAACAGAAAAGAGATCCTCTTAAAGATAGACGGAGTGAAAGAGAGGGACAATAAACCAGAAAAAGAGACGGAAAAAGAAAAGAGACGGAGGTAAAAAAAGAGACGGAGAACAGCAGAAAGAGAGTTGAAAAGGAGAAAAGACGGAGTGTAAAAGAAAGAGAGACTGAGAATACAGAAAGAGAGACGGGAAATAGAAAAAGAACGGAAAAGAGAGACGGAGAAAGCAGAAAAAGAGACGGAGAAACAGAAAGAGAGAGAAAAGCAGAAAGGAGAGAGAAAGCAGAAAAAAGAGACGGAGAAAAAAAAAGAGAGACGGAGAAAAGAAAAAGAGACGGAGAAACAAAAGAGAGACGGAGAAAGAAAAGAGAAAAAAGAGAAAGGAGAAAGAAAAAAAAGAGATGGAGAAAGAAAGAGAGACGGAGAAAGAGATGAGAGACGGAGAAAGCAGAAAAAGAGATGGAGAATACAGAAAGAGAGACTTAGAAAGAGAAAAAGACGGAGAAAAAAGAGACGGAGAAAGCAGAAAAAAGAGATGAGACGGAAAGAGAAAGGGAGAAAAGAAAAAGAGACGGAGAAACAGAAAGAGAGATGAAAGAAGAGCGGAGAAAAGAGACGGAGAAAGCAGAAAAAAGAGACGGAGGGAGAAAGAGAAAGTACAGAAAGAGAGACGGAGAAAGCTTTTGGAGAGAGAAAGAGAGACGGGAGAATAGAAAAGAGACGGAGAAAAGAAAAGAGACGGAGAAAGCAGAAAGAGGATGAGATAGGAGGAGGCAGAAAGAGAGACGGAAAAAGAGAAAAAAAGAGAGAGTGAAAGAGAGAAAGAAAAGAGGAGAAAAGAGAGATGAGAGAAAGAGGAGACGGAGAGACAGAAAGAGACGGAGAAAGAGAAAAAGAGACGGAGAATACAGAAAAAGGACGGAGAGGGAAAGAGACGGAGAAGAAAAGAGAGACGGAAAAGACAGAAAGAGAGATGGAGAATAGAAGAGAGAGACGGAGAAAGGGAAACGGAGAGACGGAGAAATACAGAAAGAGAGACGGAGAAATACAGAAAAATGAGAGAAGTAGAGAAAGAGAAAGAGAGACGGAGAGAAAAAGACGGAAAAAGAGAGACGGAAAATGCAGAAAAAAGAGACGGAGAATACAGAAAGAGAGACGGAGATGCAGAAAGAGAGACGGAGAAAGAGAAAAAGAAGGGATGTGTACAGAAAGAGACGGAGAGAAAAAAGAAATACAGAAAGAGAGAGAGACGGAGAATACAGAAAGAGAGAGAGGAGAGAATGAAAGAAGGGAGAGAGAAGGGGGAGAAAAAAGAAACGGAGAAAGACAAAGAGAAAGATGGAGAAAGAGAGAGACGGAAAAGAGAAAAAGAGAGAGAAAAAACGGAGAAAAAGAGAAAAAGAGACGGAGAAAAGAGAAAGAGAGACGGAGAAAAGAGAAAAAGAGAGGACGAGAGAAAACAGAAAAAGAGAGACGGAGAATACAGAAAAGAGAGAGAGAGAAAAGAAAAAAAGAAAAGAGACGGAGAGAGAGAAAAAGAGACGGGAGAAAGAGAGGAAAAAAAAAGAGAGACGGAGAAAAGAGACAGAGAGAGAGAGAAAGACAGAGAGAGAAAGAGACGGAGAAAGCAGAAAAAAGAGAGAGGAGAAAGAGATGGAAAAAGACGGAGAGAGACGGAGAAAGAAAGAAGAGAGAGAAAAGAGACGGAGAGAGAGAAGAGAGAGAGACGGAGAAAAGAGAGAGAGAGAAAGAAGAAAGAGAAAAAGAGACGGAGAAAAGAAAGAGAGAGAGAGAGAAAGACAGAAGAAAGAGAGAGAGAGACGGAGAAGAAGAGAGACGGAAATGAGAAAGAGGGAGAGAGAGAAAGAGAGACGGAGAATAAGAAGAAGAGAGAGAGGAGAAAAGAGAAACAGAAAAGAGAGTGGGAGAGACGGGAAAGAGACGAGAGAGAAACAGAAAGAGAGAGAGATGAAAAAAAAGAGAGAGAGAGAGAGCGGAGAGAGAGAAAGAAAGAGAAAAAAACGGAGAAAGAGCAGAAAAGATGAGATGGAGAGATGGGAAAGAGAGACGGAGAAAGAGAAAGGGAGAGAGAGAAAGAGAAAGAGAAAGAAAAGAGAGAAAAGAGAGAGAGAGAGAAAAAGAAAGAAAGAGAGAGGGAGAAAAGAGACGGAGAAAAAGAAAAAGAGAGGAGAAAAAAGAGATGGAAAAAAGATAGACGGAGAAAAAAGAAAGAGAGAGAGAGAAAGGAGAGAGAAAGAGAGAGAGAAAAAAAAGAGAGAGGAGAATACAGAAAGAGAGAGAAAAGGAGAAAAAGAGACAGAAGAGAGAGAGAGAGAAAAAAGAGAGGAGAAAGAGAGAGAGAAAGAGAAAAAAAAGAGAGGGGAGAAAGAGAAAAAGAGGGGGAGAAAGACAGGAAAAGAGAGATGGAGAAGAGAGAAAGAGAGACGGAGAAAGCAAAAAAGAGAGAGAAAGAAAGGACAAAAGAAAAAGAGAGAGAAAGAGAAAGAAAAGAAAGAGAGACGGAGAAAGCAGAAAAAGAAGAGAGAAAAAAAGAGAAAGAGAGAGAAAAAACATAAAAAGAGAGAGAAAAAGAGAGGATGAGAAAGAAAAAAGAGAGAAAGAAAAAGAGAGACGGAGAAATACAGAAAGAAAGAGAAAAAAAACAGAGACAGAGGAAGAGAAAGAGAGAGAGAAAACAAAAAAAGAAGGAGAAAAAGGAGAGAGAGAAAAACAAAAAAGAAACGGAGAGAGAGAAAGAGAGACGGAGAAAGAGAGAAAGAGAAAGAAATAGAAGAAAGAGAGAGAAAAAAGACGGAGGGATACAGAAAGAGAGAGAGAGAAAAACAAAGAAAGAGAGAAAAGAAAGACAGAATGAGAGAAAAAAAATAAAGAAAGAGAGACGGAAAAAAAAAATAGAAAGAGAGAAAAAAACAGAGAGGAAAAGAGAGAGAAAAAGGCAGAAAAGAGAGACGGAGAAAAAGAGAGGAGAGAAAGAAAAAGAGAAGGAAATAAGAAAAAGAGAGAGAAAAAAAGAGAGAGAGAGAAAAAAAAGAGAGAGAAAGAGAAAGAGAGAAAAAGCAAAGAGAGAGAGAGAGAAAAAAAGAAAAAGAGAGACGGAGAAAAAAGGAGGAGATACAGAAAGAGAGAGAAAAACAGAAAGAGAGAGAGAAAAAAAAGAGAGAACAGAAAGAGAGAGAGAAGAGAAGAAAAGAGAGAAAGAGAGAGAAAAAAACAGACAGAGAGACGGAGAGTGGAGAGAAAAGAGACGGAGAAAGAGAGAAAGAGAGAGAAAAGAAAGAGAGAAAGAGAGAGAGGGAAAACAGAAAGAGAAAATAAAAAGAGAGAGAGAGAAAACAGAGAGAAAGAGAGAGAGAGAGAACAAAGAAAGAGAGACGGAGAAAGACAGAAAAAGAGAAGAAAGACAGAGAGAGAAAGAGAGAAAAAAAAATATAGAAAGAGAGAGAGAGAAAACAGAACAGAGAGAGAGAGAAAGGAGAAAAAGAGAGGGACGGAAAAAAGAAAGAGAGAGAGGAAAAAGAAACAGAGGAGAGAGAGAAAAAGAATACAGAAAGAGAGAGAGAGGAAAAACAAAAAAGAGAGAGAGAGAGAAAGACATAAAGAAAGAGAGAGAGAAAGAGAGAGACAGAAAGAGAGAGAGACGGAAAGAGAGAGAGAAAAAGAAAAGACAGAAAGAGAGAAAAAATACAGAAAGAGAGAGAGAGAGAAAAGATACAAAAAGAGAGAGAAAGAAAAAGAGAGAAAGAAAAAGAGAGAGAGAGGAGAAAAAAGAGAGAGAGAGAGAAAAAAGAGGAGAGAGCAGAAAGAGAGACGGAAAAAAAAGAAAGAGAGAGAGAGAAGAAAAATGGGAGGAGAGAGAGAAAAAGACAGAAAGAGAGGAGAAAAACAGGCAGAAAGAGAGAGAGAAAAACAGGAGAAAGAGAGAGAAAAAAAAGAGAGAAAGAGAGAGAGAGAGAGGAAAAAATACAGAAAGAGAGAAAGAGAGATGAGAGAGAGAGAGAGAAGAGAAAAAAGAGACGGAGAAAGAGAGAGAGAGAAAAAAAGAGAGGAAAGAGAGAGAGAAGAGAGAGAACATACAGAAAAAAGAGAGGAGAGAAAAAAAAACAGAGGAGAGAGAGAAAGAGAGAAAGAAAAAGAGAGACGGAAAAAGAAGAGAGAGAGAGAGAGAAAAAGGGATGGAGAAAAGAGAGAGAGAGAAAAAACAGAAAAACAGAAAGAGAGAGAGAAAGAGAGACGTAGAGAAAGCAGAAAGAGAGAGAGAGAGAGGAGAGAGAGAGAAAAAGAAAGAGAGAGAGAGAAAAAAAAGAAAGAAAGAGAGAGAGAAAAAAAAAGAAAAGAGAACAGACAGAAGAGAGAAAAGAGAGAGAGAAAAAGAGAGAGAGAAAGAGAAAAGACAAGAGACGGAGAGAGAGAAAAAAAAATACAGAAGAGAGAGAGAAAAAGGGAAATACAGAAAGAGAGAGGGGAGAAAGAGAAAAGAAAAAAAGACAGAAAGAGAGAGAGAGAAAAAGAGAGAGAGAGAGAGAAAGAGAAAAACATACAGAAAGAGAGAAAGAGAACGGAGAAACAGAGAGAGAGAGAAAAAAACAGAGAGAGAAGAGAGAAAAAAATACAGAAAGAGAGAGAGAAAAAAATATACAGAAGAGAGAGAGAGGATGAAAGGGGAGAAAGAGAGAGAGAAAAAAAAGAGAAAAAGAGAGAGAAAAAAGAAAGAGAGAGAGAGAGAAAAAAAAAGGAGAAAGAGAGAGAGAGAAACAAAAAGAGAGAGAGAAAAACAGAAAAAGAGAGAGAGAAAAAAAGAGAGACGGAGAAAGACAGAAAAAGAGAGAGAGAAAGAAATACATAGAGAGAGAGAGAGAGAGAAAAAAAAAATACAGAAAGAGAGAGAAAAAAAAAGACAGAAAGAGAGGGATACAGAGAGGAGAAAAAGAAAGAGAGAGAAAGAAAGAGAAAAGAAAGAAAGACAGGAAAGAGAGAGAAAAAAACAGAAAGAGAGAGAGAAAAAAAGACAGAAAGAGAGAGAGAAAAACAGACAGAAAGAAAGAGAGAAAAACAGAAAGAGAAAAGAGAAAAACAGAAAGAGAGAGAGAGAGAAACAGAAAGAGAAAGAGAGAGATGAAAGAGACGGAGAAAAAAGAGAGAGAGAAAAAAAAGAAGGAGAGAGAGAGAGAGAAAGAGAGACGGAGAGAGAAAAGAGACGGAGAGAAAAGAAAAAAGAGACAGAAAGAGAGAGAGAGAGAGAAAGAGAGACGGAGAAAGAGAGAGAGACGGAGAGAACGGACAGAAAGAGAGAGAGAGAGAGAAAAAAGAGAGAAAGAGAGAGAAAGAGAGACGGAAATACAGAAAAGAGAGAGAGAGAAAAGAGAGAAAGAGAGAGAAAGAGAAAAAAAGACAGAGAAAGACAGAGGGAGAGAGAAAAAAAAGAGAATGAGAGACGGAGAAAACAGAAAGAGAGAGAGAAAAAGACATACAGAAGAGAAAGAGAGAGAGAAAACAGAGAGTGGGAGAGAAAAAAAGAGAGACAGAAAAAGAGAGGAAAAAAGAAAGAGAGAAAAGAGAGAGATGAAAAAGTGGGAGAAAGAGAAAGAGAGAGAAAAAGAAATATAGAAAGAGAGACAGAGAGAGATGAGAAAGAGATACAGAAAAGAGAGAGAGAAAAATACAGAAAAGAGAGAAAACAGAAAGAGAGACGGATGAGAGAGGGGGAGAAGAGAGAGACGGAGAATACAGAAAGAGAGAGAGAGAGAGATGGAGAAAGAGAGAGAGAGAGAGAAGAAAGAAGACGGAAAAAGAGAGAGAGGAGAAAAGAGAGAGAAAGAGAAAGAGAGAGAGAGAGAAAAACAGAGAGAAAAAGAGAGAGAGAGAGACAGAAAAAGAGGAAAAAGAAAGAGAGAGAGAGAGAAAAACATACAGGAGAGAGAGAGAGAAAAAAAATACAGAAAGAGAGAGAGAGAAAAAAAACATAGAGAGGAATTGAGAGAGAGAATGAGAGTGGGAGAGAGAGAAAAAAGAGACGGAGAAAGACATATGGGGAGAGAAAAATAGAGACAGAGAGGAGAGAAAGGGAGAGACAGAAAGAGAGACGGAGAAAAAGACATACAGAAAGAGAGAGAAAAAATAGACAGAAAGAGAGTGGGAGAGAGAGAAAAAGACGGAGAAAAGAGAGAGAGAGAGAAAAACAGACAGGAAAGAGAGAGAGAGAGAAAAAAACAGGAAAAAGAGAGAGGGTGAGAGAAAACAGAAAGAGAGAGAGAGAGAAAAACAGGGGAGAGAGAGAGAGAGAAAAACATACAGAAAGAGAGAGAGAGAGAAAAAAGAAACAGAGAGGAGAGAGAGAGAGAGAAAAAGATACAGAAAGAGAGAGAGAGAGAGAAAGAGAGACGGAGAAAGAGAAAGAGAGAGAAAAAAAATACAGAAAGAGAGAGAGAGAAAAAGAAAAAGAGATGAGAGAGTGGGAGAGGGGGGTAGAGAGACGAAAGAAAGACAGAAAGAGAGAGAGAGAAGAGAGGAAAAAGAAAGAGAGAGAGAGAAAAAAAGAGACGGAAAGAGAGAGAGGGGAAAAACAGAAAGAGAAGAGAGGATGAGAGGAGAGGGAGCAGAAAAAGAGAGACGGAGAAAACAGACAGAAAGAGAGAGAGAGAGAGAAAAGAAAGAAAGAGAGAGAGAGAAAAAAGAGAGAAAGAGAGAGAGAGAAAAAACATAAAGAGAGAGAGAGAGAAAAACATACAGAAAGAGAGGATGAAGAGACAGAAAGAGAGAGAGAAAAGAAAGAAGAAAGAGAGACGGAGAGAGAGAGACGGAGAGAGAGAGAAAAGAATACAGAAAGAGAGAGAGAAAGAGAAAAGAGACGGAAAAAGAGAGAAAAAAGAGACGGAGAAAGCAGAAAGAGAGACGGAGAATACAGAAAGAGAGACGGAGAAAGCAGAAAAAAGAGACGGAGAAAGCAGAAAGAGAGACGGAGAATACAGAAAGAGAGACGGAGAAAGCAGAAAAAAGAGACGGAGAAAGCAGAAAGAGAGACGGAGAATACAGAAAGAGAGACGGAGAAAGCAGAAAGAGACGGAGAAAGCAGAAAAAAGAGACGGAGAAAGCAGAAAAAGAGACGGAGAATACAGAAAGAGAGACGGAGAAACAGAAAAGCAGAAAAAGAGAAAAGAGAGAAAGGAGAAAAGACGGAGAATAAGAAAGAGAGACGGAGAGAAAGGAACGGAGAAAGCAGAAAGAGAGACGGAGAATACAGAAAGAGAGACGGAGAAAGCAGAAAAAGAGACGGAGAAAGCAGAAAAAGAGACGGAGAAAGCAAAATGTAGAACATATGATTATTTTCGAGGAATTTTATTTCATCTTTTAGAAGTGTGGGTCAATTATGAAATAAATAAATAAAATAGTCAAAAGCATGTGAGGTTGTACTTTAAAAATAAGACGCAAATAACTTATTGAAATGATGTACTGAGTTTTATTTTTTATTTATTTATTGATTATTTTTATTGATTTCCGTTTCAAGTCTTCTGGTTACCACAAGTTTATTTGCAGTAGTAGAATAGAATTGCTAAAAATCATCTGAAAAATCATCTTTTCCAATGTTATACAAAATTAGGCATTTCGTACTCCATTTTTCTAACACAGACTTCCTGTATGCTATAATAATAGTGTGTATTCATGTGTTTATATAAGTGTATGAGAAAGACAAAATAAGGAGCACCTTGCTGACAATTATTGAAAATTGTTAGCAGTCGCCAAGCAAAAGAAAAAAAAGTAACGAGGTGTGTGTATTTTTTTTTCAAATTATTTTTTCGACTTTTTTTTAGCGCAAACATTACTCGTGACGTACAACAAAAGTCAAGAACGACAAGCACACAGCTTACATATTACGGATCTTTATTGATGAAACATAAAATAAAACATTGATTTTTTTTTCGGTCTGCTCTCTTCATTTTTCAGGGGAAAAATCGAACTTAGAAAGAGCTTCTTGACAAAGACTGTCAATCACTAAAAATAAGTAGTCTAAGAAAGGGCACAGCTCGAACAGGATGAAAATAATATTTTATTACGGACGATACCGTAAATGTTACTGCAAGAAAAATGAGTTTGTTGGAATATTAAAACATTTTTTTTTATCATTTCACTTTATGCTTACATAAATTTTATTCCTTTATTGAACGTGTATAGTTAAAAAAAAGACGAAAAGAACCCAAAAAAGATGAAAAGAAGGTAAAAAAACGAAAAGAAGCTAAAAAGAAAGACGAAAAGAAGCTAAAAAGAAAGACGAAAAGAATCTAAAAAATGACGAAAAGAAGCTAAAAAAAGACGAAAAGAAGATAAAAAGAAAGACGAAAAGAAGATAAAAGAAAGACGAAAAGAAGCTAAAAGAAAGACGAAAAGTGATAAAAAAAGACGAAAAGAAGTTAAAAGAAAGAAAACTAAAAAAGAAAGACTAAAAGAAAAAAAAGACGAAAAGAAGATAAAAGAAAGACGAAAAAGAAGCTAAAAAGAAAGACGAAAAAAAAGACGAAAAGAAGATAAAAAGAAAGACGAAAAGAAGCTAAAAAGAAAGACGAAAAGAAGCTAAAAAAGACGAAAAGAAGATAAAAAGAAAGACGAAAAGAAGCTAAAAAGAAAGACGAAAAGAAGCTAAAAAAAGACGAAAAGAAGATAAAAAGAAAGACGAAAAGAAGCTAAAAAGAAAGACGAAAAGAAGCTAAAAAAAGACGAAAAGAAGATAAAAAGAAAGACGAAAAGAAGCTAAAAAAGACGAAAAGAAGCTAAAAAAAGACAAAAAGAAGCTAAAACGATTCTATTTCACATTTTTTTTTTACTATCCACGTTTATTCTTCATTATTTTTCCATCCATTTTTATTTCTTTATTTTATTCTTTTTATTTTTTATTTACTTAAAACACTCCATGACTACTTCCACAAGTGGACGACTATGATGCGCCAAATTGTTTTTGACACTTCTCCTTCTCTCTATTTTCTTACCTTTCAATGCATACTTATTTTAGTAGGGCACTTTGCGTGGATAAATGGTTAGCATGCTTGTTTCACTACATTACGGCTGAAAGGTGAGTTCGATCCTCACTAGATACCCCATGCTCTCGGCCTTGTGCCACGTCTAAGTTATGCTTAGAAAATCACCATACTTCCAAATATTACTTCTCCCTTTACGTCTCTTTCGTTTTGTATGCTCCTACTTTCTTTACGCTAACCGCTTACTCGTTTTTTCTCCCCACCCTATTATCATACTTTCTCTCTCTCTCCTTTCTAGACGCGAGATTAAATACTTCTGCTTGCCGTCGCTCTTCTGGACCTTGCCGATTAAGGCCCTCTGTAACTTCCTGTCTTTCATTGCTCTTGGTAGCACCTGTAATTTAGCCGGACCCGCCATGTAATACTAATCTTCTTATATGGTAGTGAATATTGGATACAGATGAAAATAAATCGGGAGGCAGCAGAAATGTAGTTCAATAGAAAGATGTTTCGAGTACAATGGAGGAAGCGAGTAAGTAAAGAGGAACTCTGAAAGAAAACGAAAACGAGACACATACTCAGAATCAGAAAGAGGACTGAAATTTTGGAGACGCACAATGAAGGAGAGCCGGCCTTCTTCAGGTAGTTGGAATGTCGAACTGAACCCTTTATTTCGCTCACTGGGGTCTCTCTGAGACACACGGAACAGTGGATAAAGGCGTTGGTTAGATCCAATGACAGGACCCAAAGAGTTGTGAGTTCAATACCCGGTTAAGGCAGTGGAGAACTTTCAGAGGGAAATTAACAGGAGATAACTGATAACTGATATCCATCAAACATGGTACGTGGAACTAGAAGTCAACCCCGGTGAGCGAAATAAAGGGTTCAGTTCGACATTTCAACCACCTGAAGAAGGCCGGAGCGTACAACGGCCGAAACGCTGTAATAAATATGGCGACAAAGATGAGGACAATAATCCGAATAATGTAAATAATGTACATAATAAATCATTTCAGAAATATAGACAGACAATCAAGGAGAGCTTGTAAATTTTGATACACACTTGACATATCAAAAGGGACATACGTGGCCCGCTGCCTGTCTTTGTGGGAATGGATGGCAGAACGGAGATTGGGAACGATGGTATAAATACAAGAGTACAAGATGATATAAAGAGCTGCATTGGGGTAAGAGGTTGTGGAGAGTCATGACCGTCCATAATTCTGAAAAAAAAAACAGTACATAGAAAAATAGATTGTGCGGATAGCGTAGAGGGTATAAGCCCGGAAAGCGGTCTTGGTGTGTCGAGTTCAGACCGTTCAATGTCGTTACGCTCACTTTTGGACATACACCGTTGGAGAATTAATCTTTTGGACTAAATACAAGTGCCGTTTAAAATAGTCATGCTGGCGGAAATATTTCAACTTTTAAATGAGCTGTCGGTTCAAATAAAGCGAGATTTCATTTATTTCAGACGTGGCATGATTCGTAGCAGAAAAAAAATTATATGAGAAATAATAAAGAAATAAGTTGATAGTATTTGTATTTGGTACACAATCCATCTTTCCCAGGTATAAATTAATAGCAAGGAGGACTGGGCGATCTAGCTTTGATTGACAACCAGTCTAGGAGAAGGACAACTCTGAATTCCAAACAGGTTGGGTGTATGGCTGGTAGCTACCTCCGAAAAAAAATATTTGTTACGGAAATCAAAGCAGCAGCACTTAGCGTGTGGCGTTATATTCCTCTGGGAGTCGACAGCGTTAACAAGCAACAACAGCAATGATGATAAATAGATACGCTTGAAAAACATTGGCTAAAACGCATCTGTTTTCTGTAAAAGCCACATAAGGCAATCACCAAACATTCTATTTTGTTTATAAAAAAAAAAAAAAAAACCAGCATCTGGCTGCTGTTTCACTGACTGGCCATTCTGAACAGCACCTGTACATCGGAAATAATGGTTCGGTCTCCGTAATTATGTCAAATCAAATTCTGCTTTCAAGGAAATTAAGACCAGAAGGAGATGACACGAAAAGTTGCGAGGAGAGCAAAGCAAACAAACAAAAAAAAAACTTGAAAAAAAAAGGTAAGAAGCGAAAAATCAAAGTAGCTTTAAAAAGAAAGGAAAATAAAAAGGAAAAAGGGTCTAAGATGAACATTTTAAAATTGGATGTTAGTGAATTCCAGAAATTAAAGATTAATCACAGAAAAGAGAAGGTATGACTTTAAAAAGATAGATTAGACAAAACAAAATATTGGTAATAAAAGTGAAACAAAATCGAAAACATTTCACCTTTATTTTGCATTTCTTTTCCATTTAGTTTCTTTTTAATTACTCGCACTCCCCACCCCCTTTAGCTGTTAAAGGTAAAGGTGAAAGTTTAGGTAAGACAGATGGAGAATAACTACGATTGTCGAAAATATATAAATAGAACGAGTAAGAGAGAGACAGAGAGAAATGGTAAAGAAAAACTGAACAAAAATTCCTGAACAAAAATGAGTAAATAACAAAATAGAGGAAAAATATCCAGTTTATTTTCAAGTTTAAAAAGTCTTATTTGGATTGTGTTAATACACGTGTAAGATTCAAACGGTTATTGCTCGGTTATATTACAAAATAGAATAAAAGCCACTAAAAACAGCAAAAGCCACGTTAGATTATACAAATTAAAAGGGTTTATAAATAATAGACGTGCTCATTTCCAAAGAGAAAAAAACATCAAAAAGAAGAGTATTATGGAGAAGAGGGAAAACAATCATGACAGAAGAACGGAAAAATGTTAGTTCTGTCAGTTACAGAATGTAGTCAATGAAGGAGGAGATTAACAAAAAAATCGAGGAGAAGACAACGAAGACGAAAAAGATGGCGACGAAGACGAAAAAGATGACGACGAAGACGAAAAAGATGGCGACGACGAAAAAGATGGCGACGAAGACGAAAAAAAAGATGGCGACGAAGACGAAAAAGATGGCGACGAAGACGGAAAAAAAGATGACGACGAAGACGGAAAAAAGATGACGACGAAGACGGAAAAGATGGCGACGAAGACGGAAAAAAAGATGACGACGAAGACGGAAACAGAGAAAAGCACAAAGCGGATAAGGAGAACAGAAGAGAAACGGAGTTGAAAACATGGACGATAACGACAAATAGAAATTAGAGTAAAAGGAAATATTAAAATCAAAATAATTACAGCGAGAATAAAGGCGGCGGCAAACTTATAGCGACGGGATAAAAAATTACAAATAAACAAAGTGAATAAACTAATTTGGGGGTAAAATAAACCAAAAAAATACCTTACAGACGTAAAAAATTCTAATAAAAAATTTAAAAACTATCAAAAGC